CCTTGGTGCTCTCTGAGCTTGGTGGTTTCCTTGCAGACGTTTCATGACCCAAGTAGGTAACACCATCAGTGCCAGAAGGGAAGGGCATTTGCAGAGGAAGAGAAGGAATCAGAAAATGAGAATTGGAGGTTTTCTAGTTCAATTCCCCTCCTCAAGCAGGAGATCTCAAGTACCATTTCAGACATGTGGCTGTCCAGTCTGATCTTAAAAACCTCCAGCGACGGGAGCAGTCACAATTTCAGAGGAGGGGGAGGGGGAAGAGGAGGACTGTGGCGTCCTTGGCGGTCTCTGAGCTTGGTGGTTTTTCTTGCAGACAGTTCATGACCCAACCCAGAAGCACTGGTGATGTTCCCTAGCTGGGTCATGAAACGTCTGCAAGAAAAACAACCAAGCTCAGAGAACCCCCAAAGACCCCACAGTTCTCTTCCTGTTCCTCCACTCCCTTCTAGCACTGGTGATGTTCCCTAGCTGGGTCATGAAACGTCTGCAAGAAAAACAACCAAGCTCAGAGACCACCAAGGACCCCACAGTTCTCTTCCTCTTCCTCCACTCCCTTCTAGCACTGGTGATGTTCCCTAGTTGGGTCATGAAACGTCTGCAAGAAAAAAAACCAAGCTCAGAGAACCCCCAAGGACCCCACAGTTCTCTTCCTGTTCCTCCACTCCCTTCTAGCACTGGTGATGTTCCCTAGCCGGGTCTCGAAACGTCTGCAGGAAAACCATCAAGCTGAAAGACTACCGAAGACCCCACAGTTCTCTTCCTCCCTTCTAGCACTGATGATGTTCCCTAGCTGGGTCTCGAAACGTCTGCAGGAAAACCATCAAGCTGAAAGACTACCGAAGACCCCACAGTTCTCTTCCTCCCTTCTAGCACTGATGATGTTCCCTAGCTGGGTCTCGAAACGTCTGCAGGAAGCTGAAAGAGTTCCAAAGAACCCCCACAGCCGAACTCCAAGTTACCACCCGTCTCTTCTACTTGTACCCAAACCGCAGGCCAACCACGAGGGCTTCAGAAAGTCCCCAAACCCCAGGGAAGGTTTGAGAGTGGTGGTTTTGTCCCGCCTTACCTTCCTCCTCTTGGCTGCCAGCCGCTGAAGCATCTCCTGGGGGTGGGGGAACTTGTTGGCATCCCAGGTGAAGTAGCGCTTGCCGTCGGCGTGCTCGATGTCCAGCCAGATGACGTCGCAGGGGATGTCGTGCTCGTCGAAGCCGTTGTCCACCGCGGTGACATCTTCCTCATCGTTGTAGTTCCAGCGGCTCTGGTGATAGGACAGGGCGAAGAGCGGAGGCAGAGCCTGGGTGCCTGGAGAAGGAGGAACACACAGAAGGTCTGGAGCTGCCTATCATGCCCCTGTCGGAGTCTGAATCCGAACAGCTGACAGGGGAATGGGAAACTGGGGAAGGGCAAAGTCGGCTGGGCACAGCAGGGGAGAGAGAGGTAGAGAAAGGGAGAGGGAGTTCAGAGGGAGACCCAGGCCCACCCCTTCATCCTAGGGCACACAGGGAGGAACGGAGAAGGGAGCAACGTGGGTTGCATGGCTTACGGGGGAGGAAAGGGCCCTGATTCCCTTCATTAGCCACAGCTGGGAAGAGAGCTTAAAAGAAATCCATGCTGAGTGCAGTGTCTGCTGGGAGCAAATGTGAGTTTATCTTGTGTTGACTTTAGTTATCTGCGTTCCTGGCATCTTCCCAACCGTGTTGAGTTATTGCCTTCACGTCCAGAATTCCTCCTCCTGCCCTGCTGGACTAATGACCTCATTTTGCCTTGATTGGACTTATAGTTACAGTTTTTGTTGACCACCTTTTGGACTTGATTCTCTCTGCAGCCAAAGGCTGTCCCTGGGAGAGTTTTTCTCCAGCCCAGAAGGTAACCAGGACATTGGGGGCAAAGTTGGGGCTAATAAAGGGACTCCCGCTGATTATCTGACTGTTGCCTTTGTGCCACGCCCCTTTGGGTCATCACATCCTGTTCACACGGAGGGAAGGCATCGCCTTATGCAGGAAGTCCTTGACTTACAGTAGTTCATTTAGTGACTGTTCAAAGTTACGAAGGGCCTGAAAAAAAAGTGAGTTATAACCGTTTGTTTTTTTACATATTTGACCATTGCAGCATCCTCATGGTCACATGATCAAAATTCAGCTGCTTGGCGACTGACTCATAGTTATGACGGTTGCAGCAAGATTCCTTTAATAACTGAAGGGATTCAGTTAAACAAAGGTGACATGAAAGGTTGTAAAATGGGAGGAAAGTCACTTTTTTTTTAACATTAAGGGAGTCTCACCTCATTTTACGACCTTTCTTGCCATTGTTAAGTGAATCACTGCAGGGGGTTGAGTTAGGAACCTGGTTGTTAAAGAGAACCTGGCCTTCCCCACTGAATTGGCTCGTCAGGCGGTCGCAAAAGGGGGATCACCTGACCTCAGCACACTGCAACTGTCGTAAATGCGAATCAGTTGCCAAGTGTCCAAATTTTGATCACGTATGGGGTGGTGGGGGTGGTGCTGCAATGGTCGTAAGTGTGAAAAACGGCCGTGTCAACTTTTTTCAGCGCCGTTGTAACTTTGAACCATCACTCAATGAATTGTTGTAAATTGAAGGCTGTTTTATACTCTCAATCGAGGCTCTTAATTTCCTCGAATGGTTTCCAGAGTAGATCCCTTCATCCAAAGAAGCTACTCGGTCTTGCTAAAACCTTGATAAACCAGAACTAGACACAAGGACGGTTTTTCCCCCCCGAATGCCATCACTCTGCTAAACAACTAATTTCCACAACACTGTGAAACTATTTAGTAAGACAGTATGACTATTCTTCTTCTCATCCTTACTATTATCTACCTCTTCCAACTTATAACCTTGTTGCTTGTACCTTTACAATTTATATTGTTTTATTTGTTCCCTAGTAGGATTTGATTGTTTATTAGTAACCTATAACTATCACGAGTTGTGTCTTTTGATTCTTGATAAATGTATTTTTTTTCTTTTATGTACACTGAGAGCTTATGCACCAAAGATAAATTCCTTGTGTGTCCAATCACACTTGGCCAATAAAGAATTGAATTCTATTCTATTCTATTCTATTCTATTCTATTCTATTCTATTCTTTCCATTTCTATTAATTATATTCTATTCGTCTTCTATTCCTGTTTGTTTCTATTTTATTCTATTCTATTCTTTCCATTTCTATTAATTATATTCTATTCATCTTCTATTCGTCTTCTATTCATCTTCTATTCGTCTTCTATCTCTATTTCTATTCTATTTCTATTCTATTCTACTCTTTCCATTTCTATTAATTCTATTCTATTCATCTTCTATTCGTCTTCTATTCATCTTCTATTCGTCTTCTATCTCTATTTCTATTCTATTCTACTCTTTCCATTTCTATTAATTCTATTCTATTCGTCTTCTATTCGTCTTCTATTCGTCTTCTATTCTTATTCTTATTCTCATCCTCATTCTATTACAGAATGCAGAGGATTGGATCGATTAACCCAGCCTCTCTTCTTGCTGTCTGTCCTCGGGATCGCCCCAATTCCCACTCAGCTCACCTGTGAGGGATGCATACTGCTTGAAAATGTCCGCAGGTGAAGGTCCCAGCAGAAGGAACACGTCTATGATTCCGCTCTCCGACATCCAGCGAACGTCTGTTTGGGGCGTTTCTCCTCCGCCTTGTATGTAATCTAGCATCTTCCCAAACATGGTCTGCAAGGGAAGGTGGGCAGGGAACACTTCTGGGTTAGTGTTTCTCAACCGTAGCAGCTTTAAAACTCCCAGAATTCCCCAGCCAGCTAAGATGCTGCAAATCAGAGGTTTACAAATTGGCCAATTAAACCCCTAGAATTCCGCAGCCAGGAGTTGAAGTCTACAAGTCTTAAAAGTTTGCCAAATTTGGAGACCCTTGAGGTAAATAACTAACCTATCCCAAAAGGAAGTCCTCGACTTACAAACATGTGTGAATCGACCTTTCAAAGGGACAAAAAAAAGTGAAAAAAAAGTGACCCAGGACCGTTGATCACCCTTATGACTATTGCAGCATTCCCATGGTCAGATAGATGCTTGGCAACTGACTCGTATTTATGACGGTCCAGGCTCACGTGAGCCTCTTTTGGCAACCTTCAAAGGTCAAAAGGGGAAGCTGGATCCGTTTCACGACCGTGTGACTAACTTAACGCCTGCGGCGATTCTCTTAACAACGGTGGCAAGAAAAGTCACAAAAGGTCACTCGGCAAACGTCCCGCTTAGCCGCGGGCGTTTTGGGCTCAATCGTGGTCGTAGGTCGAGGACTCCCCGACTAATGCAAGCAGGAAAGCCCACTCCGCTTACCTTGCCGGCTGTGTTGGAGGTGATGTCCACCCAGGTCTCGGCCGCATTCAGCCAAAACAGGCCAAGGGTACGTTGGGCGCTGTGAGCCAGCAACACAGGGACGGATCCATAGAGAGCCATCGGGTTGTAGAGTTCGTATTGGAAGACGTCCAAGTTATAGAGGCGATACGGGTCCCCTCCCCTGCAGAGATGGGATCATGAGAGCAGGGGGGAAAATACCGCCTAAAGAATTCATATTTAGAATAGAATAGAATAACAGAGTTGGAAGGGACCTTGGAGGTCTTCTAGTCCAACCCCCTGCTTAGGCAGGAAACCCTATAGCACTTCAGAGAAATGGCCGTCCTGTCTCTTCTTTAAAAACCTTCTTTTCTGGGAGGGAGGGAGGGAGGGAGGGAGGGAGGGA